GGCGGCCCGGAGCTGCACCGCTTTGGGCCGCCGGCAGGGGGCGCGCACACTCAGGGAATCTCATAGGGCGCGGCGTTAGCTGCACGGGAGGGGGAAGGGGGGAAGGACTCTTTTGCCATGGTTCCCAGGGTTCAGAGAGATTCCTGGGCGCCTGCCGGGGACACCACAGGCTTTTCTGTGAAAATGGAAGAGGTTGCTCCTGCCTTCCTTTCTCTCTGTCCATCTTCAGGACATCCAGTTACTAGACCCAGCAGTAACACTACTAAAGTAGCAAAGCTAAGATTTGAACCCAGAACTCTTTTCACGCCCTCTTACTCCCTCAAGGGGGGGGGGAGGGCGCAGAATTGCAGGAGTCTTCAAAGCTTTCTTTTCTTTTCTGTAGGTGGGCTGCTGGGATCTGCAGGGTGCAGGAAGGATTCAGATGGGAATGGAGAGGAGGAGCTCCCCTGTCGGATTCCTCCATCCTGGGCTTGCTCTCGGGACTTTTTTGTTCAGGGGTTGGCAGACTGGAGGCTACAATTTCAGATGTCAATCACATCCACCTAGGGTCATGGTAGTAGGGACGTGTCTACTCCCTTAGGTAGAGGACATTAAACTCTGACCCAGGGATGCTGTGAGCTGCTCTTTGACAAAATCCTCTACAGACAGCAAGTACACCTCCCTCAATCAGAACCTGGTCCGTTCCCATATCCTCCCCACTCTGAAGGTCTAGGTCCTGTAGTGTGTGCTAGCCTCTGTGAACACCTTACCCTTAGAGTGAAAGCAGCACCCGCCCTAAAAAGGACAGAGACATGAATTGGTGCTCATTCTCATTAACATGTGCTAATGAGTGTTAGCCGAGCTGCCTTCGAAAGGAGAGCAAAAGAGAAGGAGGTGAGAATCAAAAGCAGTTTGCTAGGGGAGAGGAGAACCTGGGGGCGGGGCAGAGAGGAGCAGGTGTCAGGTGGGGCAGCTCTGAGCTGACCTCAAAGAGCAACAATAGAGTCCAAGTTCCCAAATTGCTCATGCGTTGCCCAGGTCCGATGTGTTAGAGGTTATTCACAGGAACAGACTCGGGGAGAAGAGGCAGAAAAAGCTAGCGTTTGAGGCCTGGGTATTCCAGGCTCCTTTGCTGCCAGGGCTCGGAAATTAGCAAGCTGGAGGCGCTTTGCCTGAGTCTTGTCTATGAAGAGGAAAGAAGGTTCCGTTCTAAAACAAAACAAAACAAAACAAAACAACAACAACAACAACAAACAGTTGCTCTAGAATCAAGCCCCTCGGGTCTGGTTCCTAAAACAACAAGCAAACAAAACAAAACAAAACAAAAACACACAAAACCCCTCTGCAGCTGTGTTTGGATTATACAGCCTGTTTGTGCCTCAGCTTTTCTAGTCTGTAAAATGGGAGTGTGGGTATTGACGTATTGGAATTGCTAAGGACTAAACAAGTTTGTGTCCTTCGTGCAGCTAGCGCTTGTGATCGCTGGTCAGCTGGGCCAGGACTCCTTGTTCAGAGTGCTGGCCGGCTTTATATATATCACTGGGACAAAACACCCGAGGAAGTCAAGTTAAAGGAGAAAAGAGTTATTTTGACTCATGGTTTTGGAGGTTTTAGTCTGTAGGCATTTTGGTTCATTGCTCATGGGAGGTGGTGAGGCGCCTTGGTCACGAAGTGAGCCTGGGAGAGATGAAAGAAGGGAAGCAAAGCTAGGACAAGACACAGCCTCCCACCGACACCCTAGTGACGGGCTGCCTCCCAACTAGTCTAACTTACCTCCAGTTTCTACCACCTTCCAATAATCAGTTACTAAGCCATCAGTGGATTAACCCGTCTCCAAATCCCACCTCCGAACACTGGATTGGAAACCAGGCCCTTAACACACAAGCCTTTGGAGACCATTCCGGATTCAGAACCTTAACTTTCTGCACCCCTGAGTGAAGCTGCTACTGACAGGGTGAATGCCAAAGTGAGGCCCAGGGGCAAACTAGGTAGCTGCTGTTTCCAGAGTAGCAGCTTTTGACTCCGGGGCACCCAAGGCACCTGCCACTAGGGTTCCTTCCTTTGAGTTCCCTCCTAGTCCCTCCCAGCTTCCGTCTGTAAACACCCAGGGCAGTGCCTGCCTGATTCCTCTACAATATCAAGGACCACAAATGATGTCGTCAAGAGTTGGCCACCAAGAATCATGTGTGTGGTCTGGGCTAAATGGAAAAGTAGATACTGGCACCAATATGGGGTAAGAGGAACTTTTCTTGACATTCTGAAAGACTAGCCCGAGACCACACCAGGCAACCCAGGAGCCAGACTCCTCCTGTCTGCTTAGAATGTCCAGAACGCCCCCTACCTCCAACTGAGGCCACCAACTCGAAAGAGGTGCACGGGTATGGTTTCTTTCCTGGCTCCTCTGAGGCGGGAAACCCCTCCAGATCCTGGGGCTGCTGTGGGAAGGACAATGTGAGGCTACATGGTCCCAAACAGATTGCGGTGAGCAGAATTGGGGCTCTTAGGGCCCATGTGAAGACACTGTGCTTTTTTCAAACTCAGCATTGCTTGGAGGTATGGAAGCAGCCTAAATTGCCTTGCCCAGCACCAGAAGGTGAAGCAAGGGCAAAGCAAAGGAGAGCCAATGACTTTATCTTAAAGCGGTGACATGGAAACCATGCTTTTCTGCTTGCTTCTCAAAGAACTGAAACTCCTAAGTATTTTCCAATGTCTGAGATCTTCTGAGGACTTCTGTTTGAGTGTTATAACAGCTCTGATGACAATAATGGTGGTGGAAGTGACAGTGAAGGATATTGGTATCTGTATATGTCCTCACCGGTGGTTGCACTGGATCATATGTTGTTGGCTCACACAGCTGCCCTCTCAGATGTTCTATAAGATTTGGACCCATCTTCAAGATAAGGAAATCAAGGCTCAGAGAGAACAGTACTTAAGCAGGGCCTAGAAGGATGGGATAATTGAGGTTACTTTGATTCATTCAGGTACCAGGGGCCTTGTATGCCAGGTGCCATGTTCCTGGGCAAGATCTAGGAAGTATCCCCTACACCTGGACCACTAGTGTCATGTGTCATGTCTCCCAGTGTCCAGAAGTCCTCCAGTGAATGGATTAGGACTTGCTTTTTGCATCCTTCCTGCCATCCCACTGACTGTCCCCTCTGAGGGCTGTCACTGACACAAGGACACGCTAAGCAGATTTTTCCCCCATGAGCCCTCTTCCCAGGTCCCCAGGAAGTGAGGAATGTGACTATGAGATGCCAGAGATGGGATGGCAAACACCTTGCAACCCATAGTGGGCCGCAGTAATTGGCAGAGTTCCTCAGAGCACCTGGTGTTATTTTGGAGCACTTCAAAGAAAACCCAGGAGCGAGTCCTGGTTCCTCCCTCTCCCTGCAAATGCTTCTTTCAGATATTGCCTCTTTGGTCTTTATAATGGTCAGGCCTGGCTACCAGGGTGCCAGAGAGCTGGCCTTGCTTCCCAGAAAGAAGGATGAAAGGGATGCAGGAGCACAGCAGTTTCCATGGAAACGGCTCGAGGTGGTGATGAGAATAAAGTCCAGAGAAACCCAGAGGTGGGAACAGGACTTTTGAGTAACCCAGTCTAAAGTCTTTGAACAAAAAAATCTCCCCTTATGCAAGGGACCTTGGTCAGAGGATAGTGACAGGTGGCCGAAGAGCAGCAATAGGGTGGGGTCAGTGACTGTTAAGTGACCCCTGCCTGCTGTAAAAGGCAGACACACAGGAGTCAGGAGCTCAGGGTCCTGAATTTCACAGGCCTTTTAAAACTCCTGGACAGTGGTAGCACTGTCAGCTGCTAGCTGTGTGACCCCAGGTAAGGTGGCCACACTCTCTGAGCTCTCATTTCCTCATTAATAAAGTAGAGATTGCCCTGGATAGTGCCTTGGAAGGTTTTATGAGTTTTAGGGGAGGTGACGTGTGGAACGAACATTGCAGGACCTGGATCATAATAAGCAGTTGTTATTGCAAGTGGGAAAATTGAAGCAAGCGATGGGTGTCTGATCTAAATAGCATTTTCATCTCCACCAACCCCAGTCACTGCTTCAGAGATCATGAGCAAGGTATCAAGTCCCAAAGTGGAAAGAACTGCTGGGATTGTGTCCCAGTTTGCAGGTTGGCCTGAAGCTGTGAGGTCTGGAATTGATGCAGTCATCTTGAAGACTCTAGAGTGGCCATATAAGAGACAAAGAGTAGAGACTGAGGGTCAAGCTATCCTTACAAAAGACAGGATAGAGGGACTGAAAAAAATGGGGTCAAAGATGACATCATTTGAGCTGCTGGATCAAGCTGAGCCTGAAGTTATGTTGGGACTTTTGGTTAATGAATCAATATATACCTAACAATAAAGCCCTCTTATGGTAACTTGCTTTTGTTTCTTTTCTTTTTCTTTTTTAATACAACCCACCCCCCAAAGACCAAGGTGATCTAGGAAGGGAACAACTGTCCTCATGGAGCTGGAACAGGGGAACACTTAGGAACCAAAGCCTCTCTCCTTTCTCTTAGAGCACCAGGCAAGGCCATGCTTCACTGGCCTTCTGACTCTAATTTTCCCTCTAATGAGGAACTCCTGCTCTCATAACCTCTCTTGTCACAGTCACCAGCCTCCAAACCCACAGTGTCCATTCCCCTAGTAGAAGGGGCCTCTTGGTTGCCTTAGTCCGAATTCCCCAGGGATGGGTCAGATTGGTCGAGCTCACATTTTCACTGGAGCCATTCCCATGTCAAACAGCTCAAAAGACATAGGGACACACTCTCTGGCAATGTAGGTCAAACTACTCTGATGCATGAGGCCAAGTATGAAAGGCAGGGGGACTGAGATACGGGGTGACACATTTTTCTTAAGGATAGAGAGATGGCTCAGCAGTTGAGAGCATTTGTTGCTCTTGGCGAAACTGGTTCTGAGGTTCAATGAGTTTGTGTTCCTGCCCTTTTTGTAGTCAGTGACTGTGGTCTCTGATGAACTGGGCAAGGATTCCTTGATCATGGG